CAGGGTCCAGCTGTATGTTGATAGTCGTGCACTCATGTGAGGAGCAGATCCTGTAGGGGACGCGCGAGCCATGCAGGATCACGCCGAAGCCCTCGCTGCTGGGGGGAACCTGAGGTGCTCCGTGCTGCCGTCGGCTCGGAGTAGGTGAAGCTCAACAGGATGCGAGGAGGAGGAGGAGGAGGAGGAGGAGGAGGAGGAGGAGGGAGAGGAGGAGGAGTCATCCGACGGCTTGTTGAGGACGATGAGGCAGGCGAATTTTGCAGTGTCCATGGTCCAGGATGGCGAGTCAGAGCAGCCCGAGGAGATCCTCGCCCAGTGTGTTGACATGCCCGACATCTCATGCACCACGACAGGGATCTGAGAGACAAGTGAGCGAGAGGAGAGCTGGGGTAGGAAGTGAAGTAGGAGGAAGAGGAGGGGAGGAGGGGAGGAGGGGAGGAAGCGAAATAGGAGGAAGAGGAGGAGCGGACAAGAGGAGAGGGGGGAAAGCAGAGAGGTTAAACAGTGTCGGGGATGACAAAAGGCAAGAAACCCACGAAACAGAGCAGAGGGATCAGGGCGAGACAGGAGAGGAGAGAAGAGGAGAGAGGAGGGCGAGTACATCGATGACTCGGTTGATGAGGTTGCTAAAGGTCTCTGACTTCCACAAGTCGTTGAGGGATCGCAGGTCACGGGGAGCCGTTCCCGTCTGATCGTAGTGCGTCTGTAGCAGAATCTGCTCTGCCCTGTCAGCCCATGGAGCTGGAGGGAGCAGGAGCAGCAGGAGAAGGGGAGCAGCACGAGGAAGACGAGGAGAAGGGGAGCAGCAGCAGCAGTAGCAGCAGCAGCAGCATCAGAACAAGCAGGAGCAGGGGCAGGGGCAGGGGCAGGGGCAGGGGCAGGAGCAGAGCAGGAGCAGGAGCAGGAGCAGGAGCAGGAGCAGGAGCAGGAGCAGGAGCAGGAGCAGGAGCAGGAGCAGGAGCAGGAGCAGGAGCAGGAGCAGGAGGCTGGTACCTCGCTCCTGATAGCGCTGCATGCGTCAGCCTTGAGAATGGCAAAGGGTTCAGTGCATGCGAAGGAGGAGCCGTCGGCCTGTGTGGGAAGGTAACCAAGATCCTGCAGGAGAGACTCAGCGATGGATGAGCGAGGAGTCGAGGAGGAGGAGGAGGAGAGGGTGGAGAGTAAGGAGGAAGAGAGAGGGGAGGGGGTAGACGGGGGGTGCGGGTTGGAAGGTAAGGGGAAGCGAGGAGGAAGCACGGGAGAGGCGCGAGGATGAGACCCGTAGAGAGGAGAGGAGGAGGAGGTACCGCAAGTGTACGAGACTCGACGGGTCCTTGCATCCTCGCATCGAAGGCTCTCCGTGCTGTCAGACGCCACAAGGAGCTTCGTCGGGACCCTTGCTCAGGGGATTCCGGGCATGCTAGGAGGTCGCCTCCGTTGTGCCACTCCCTGCTCGAGGAGCCTCCGAGGAGAGATGTGTTGATGTTGGAAACCATGGTGTCGCACTGGTGCTCCATTCTGCTCCTCACTTGTCAGAGCTTTAACACTTTTCAACGATCACTACTCGGTACAGGAAACGAAAGTCGTCGAGCACAAGATCTGTGTTCCTGTCCCTTCGTTTCCCTATCAGCGAATAATTTCTTTCATTATGAAGATACGAAACTAAATCACTGCATTGTAACTATTTCATAACTCCTGATCTCGACCAAACATTCAAATTGAGTATTCCGAGCTTTTGCGGTCCTTTGAGTTTTCTTCCGATTGGCTCTATCTATATCACTTCATTTCTCGTCTTCTCGTCTCTTGACTTGATTCTCTGTCCTCCTCTCTCTCTACCATCTTCTTCTTCGTTTCTTCCATCGCCTCCTCCTCCCTCCTCTTCCTCCTTCCCTTCGCAACATTTTCCTCATTCCCCCCCCACCAAACACTACCTCCCCCACCTCTTCCCCCAACACTACCCCCACCCCAGAAATATTCTGAGTACCCCTGACCCTACCCTCATTTGTCACTATATTGACCCCTACCTGGTCACTACCCCCTTCAAATTCACCCACCCCTACCCCCTAATATTCTGCTCTCCCCAACATCAAATTCCCCAAAAACCCCAAACAAGTGGAACCAAGGAGCCGGTAGACCAGAGATGGGGTAGGGTGGTGCTACTTGGATGAGGGTCATTGGGGTGGGGGTACAGGAAGTAGGGTATTTTTTCAGGTCGAGGTAGGGGGTGTACAAGGACAGGCGTAACCAAGGAGTAAAAAGGACCCGGTGGGTGGAATCTAGGGGGGGTAGGACATGGTGGGGTGGTTCTCAGAAAGAGCGAATGCGCGGGCTTTGAGGTGAGAAGGAGGGAGAGGGGGAGGGAGGAGGAGGAGGAGGAGGAGGAGGAGGTGGTGGTGGTGGTGGTGGTGGAGGAGGAGGAGGAGGAGGAGGGAACAGCAGCAGATAGCATGCTGATTGTAAGCATCAATAGGAGATATCAGTGAAAACAAAGCAAGCTACTGCTGCTGTCTGCAGCAAGCAAAATGTAAGCATGGCATGCAGCCGCAGCCGCTGATGCAAACTTAGAGTAAAATTCAATGGACATCCCTGTAGAAGCTCTCCTGTTCTCGACAACTAATCCTCTCTTACCTAGATGTGCAAGTAGGGACAGCGTCAAGAATGTCACAGGCGTTGCAGAGCGTGAGCTCTGTGGCGAAGCAAATTGACGAGAATGTGAAATCATTTCTTGTGTTGATTCAAAGTCTTGAAACTGAGGGGAAAGCAAAGGAAGAGAACGTGAAGAAGTACCAACAGCAGGTCATCCAGCTGCAGAAGAGTGAATCTAAATATCTGGCACGGATAAAGAACCTTGTGGATGAGAACACGAGCCTGCGGATGCAGGTAGGAGAGAAGGACGACTTGATTCGTAAGTATCAGGATGACATGGAGAACATGAATGCAAAGTGGAAGTCCATCCTGAATCAGTACCACTCGATCAAAGAACAGATGAAGGCGGTGAAGAGCTCCATCTCCAAGAGCAAGACAAGACTCCTGAGCAGGGGAGAGGTAGCGGACATCGAGAAGAACTGCGATGAATTACAGAAAGCTGCCAATGACGCTTCGAAACAAGTGGAAACAAGTGCATTCCAGAAGCCTCAGCCAAGCACCATGGAAAGGAGGGGGGAAACGGCTAGTGCAGACGTTCAGCATGGAGGGACTCTTTTCACTTCACCTACACGAAGTCCAGCTGCGGACAAGTCCTCTGCGTCGTCAAACAATTCAGCCAAAAAGAAGAAATCCTTGCGACTCAGGAGAAGTCTGGACTTTGAAGGCAAGCAACCCTCTAGGCCTGCGGGGGCAGCAGCAACAACAACAGCAGTAGCAGCAGCAGCAGCAGCAGCTCATTCACAAGAGAATATTGGCTCGTCGGTCGATCAGCATGAAGAGTTGCTCCGCTCCTCACAGGCTGCAGAGGCTGATGCAGACAGAGCAGCAGAGGCTCAAAGTAATGCTGAGATAGTTGTTGCCGAAACTCCCCCAGAAGTCGACTACAACCCTTCACAGAACTCTCCTATACTCATCAGGCGGAATGAGAAGTCAAAATGTGCAGAGGTGACCAACGATGTAGAGGAAGATGTTGGTCAAGAAAGCTGTGTGTCCTTCACGCATGGCGGAATGGAGCCGAGTGCCTCTCCTCGCATCCGAGATGAAGATCATGATTCCTTCATGGATGAGGCAGACTCGGACAATCGCCAGGTACAAATCTCTCAAGGACAAGCGCATCAGGAGTCAGCTAAAGCACAAGAAGCTGCCAGTGCTCCCCATCATGACAAGAAGAGAAAGACTTGGGACCTGCAAGACCAGCCTGATGGTAAAGTCAGCCCAGCAAAGAGTGGAGGTGTGGTGTACAAGTGCAGAACCGTTGATCGGGAGGGCAGTAAGAACTCTCGGTATCAGCAACATCCTGAGCTGGAGGAGAAGACAAGGAGTGAAGGCAGCAGCAGAGGCAAGCCAGCTGTTCTAGTCAACTGTGTCACTCGGAAGAAGGCGGAACGAGCTGACCTCAGAGGTTTCACATGCGACTGCTGCGACAAGTTCTTTGGAAAGGTTCGAGGATCCTTTTTGTTGCTCGTTTTCTTCACCCTTACCGGAATGTCTTTCTGTCCAGGTGTCTGAAGGATCATATGACATGCCCAAGCAACATCTCTGCCAGCAGTTTTCCCGTCATCGGTATCAGTTTTCTCCCCCTAAGACGCCGCCAAGCTTCTGGAGGATCGGCTTCACTCAGTCACAGCCTATAGATGATTGACGCTGATCGTAGCAATGATGTCTAGTATGTAAATCGTTTACCCTCCCTACCAGTCAAATGACCGTCACAAGCACCAGCATCTGGGAATCACAGCGGCCAGTAAACTTTCACGGCCGCCCGGGAGGCTCCGGGGATCCGCCGGTCCGGATTGGTGACCGTCGGGATTGGACCGAGCCGGAGGGGGCAAGGAATAAGAAGCAACGATGGCTGGGGGGTCTGGAGCAGACCTGGAGGTCAAACACTGAAAACTTGTGTGGAAGAGCCGATGAGCTCTCGTGACTGATAGGCAGACTGATAGCTGGACTGATAGGTGACCCCTGCTGGTGCTGGTGCTCAGCTGGAGCAGGTGCTGGAAGGGGATGAGAAACTTCTGCTAGGGGATGAGGGCTACGTTTCGGGATCTGATGATGAAGCGCGTGGATATGGA